CCTGGCACACAGGATCCCCCCCCCCCAATGTAACCCTAAATCCACCCTCTGTGTGCCGTTATACGGTTGTGAGCAAAATTAATCTGTATTCCTGTCTGTTCTCAGATTTTGTTATATGTTAAGTCAATAGTGTTGGACTCTATGGCCAAAAGTATGTGGATACCCATAATTTTGTAATTAGGTCACACCCAGGTACACACAGGTGTATAATCATACACAGACATGCAGTCGTACAGGAGAGGTTCATCATTCCCACTTGGCACCGTCATAGAATGCCTTCTGTCCAACACGTCAGTTTGCCTCTTTCTTCCCAACTAGAGCTGTGCTGGTCGCTCTCACATGACGTGAATATCTGAGTGAAAATGTCTGGCCGCAAGTTCAGTGAGGCAGGTCCCCACAAAGCCACAGGTCCCCACAAAGCCACGGAAGGGACCTGATAACCCAACATCAGTACCCAACCTGAATGGCTGCATATCACACCAGCGATGTTTCGCCAGCTAACGGAAAGCCTCCGGATCAGTCTCTCAGGAGCAAACCTGCTCGTTACCTCGAGGGCCCTGTAACCGCGCAGAGCCCGACCCGTGGGCCGTCCGGGCCAAACCAGGGAGTCGGGGAAGTATCGGGGAAGTGGGGGGGGGGCCCAGGAGACTGAGCGCTGTCGGCCTCTCAGACAAACGATGATAAAGCTCCCGCTCTGCCGGGCCCGACAGCGAGACGCAGGGGGGGCGGCCAGGGCTAATAAACCGCAGCCGTCCCTCAGCGTGCCGCAGACGTATGCCGGGGACTGACAGGGCTATCAAAACGGAACAGCGGGAACTCCGCCCCCCCCCCCCCCCCCCCGCTGCCTTTGCGTGACGGGACAGGACGCTTAATAAGACGCTCCGTGCGGACGGGTTTAACCACCAATGCAGTTATTACTGTTTATTAGTCTTGAATGAACAAACAGGCCCCTGGGTTTGGGGGGGGGGGCACTGTGCCACCATCAGCAGCAGCATGGAGGCAGGGAACTGAGCCCCCCCCCCAGTTTACAGACACACGAGTCACTCTTGACCCACAGTGTGTGTGTGTGAATTAGGTGGGGGGGGGGGATGAATCTCAAACATTGCCTTCGCTCTCCCAGGGGCCTGTGCCATTTTGGGGAGGGGGTGTCTGGGCCGAGAGTGAGTACTGTATTTGATTTGAAGGAACAATAAGAGCAAACAGCGATGGTGGATTTGGGGGAACTTGGGTCAAAGGTCAAGCATGCAATATCAGAAGAACAAGACACTCACTAGCAGCAGACAATAGCAGGCAGGAGTCTCACTCCTTTCAGCATCAGCCAAGCATCTCCTCTGTTAATTATACTCATATTGCTGCCCCCTGCCCCCCCAGCCCTGCGCATATTCTCCTTTATTTTCAGTCTTTTTCTCTCCAGTAATGGAATGTCAACTCCTTTGCGATGCCGGCGTGTCGCGCGAGCTGTTGAAAGTGACCTCTGCTCCCCCCCCCCGCCCCCCCCCAGCCTCAGGCTCCCGCGAATCAATAGGGAGCGTCTGTCAAAGAAAGGAAAGAACATGTAATAAACGACAATCGGGCATCGGGACGGCGAGGAAGCTTTCTGGCGGACGCTGGTTCGCGGCAGTCATTTCCAGGCGTGGCGTATCCGGGCGGAATTCATTCGCCGGCGTCCTCCGACACAGCTGGTGATATTACTTTGTTAAAGAAATGCTTCATCTCCCGGTAATAAATTCTTGTGACGGCCGTCTCGGCCAGCCGGAGATGAAGGGCCGGTGCTACAGGTGTAGCGGTTTTTTTTATTGCTGCTGTCTCTCAAAGCGGGGTTATATAGAAAAGCAATCTTCCTCTTAAAGCGGCAAAGTGCTCGTGGAATATTGTTACTGCCACCCCTGTATTCCCCTTTGTGAAAATGCCATGGGGGTGTTAATGATGGAGCTGTGGGATAAAAGAATTTCATACATTTTGTTGTTGTTCTTGTTGTTGTTGTTGGGGGGGGGAGGGGGGGGGCTCAGTG